AGAAATACATGACCAGTAACCCAATGATAACATAGGAACTAAGGAAAAAATACAAACGCATGGACAAAACCCAAAACAAACACAAATCACCGACTCTCGACACCTTAAAGAAACATCCACTCAAAAAACAAAAAATAAAAACAAGAGTCCAGGAGGGTGGTGGAGTGGAGGCAGTCTAGGGGGAGGGATGGAGGGCCAGGTCCATGTAGACAAAGTGGACCAAGGTTGTGACATGGTGGTGGACCAGGGGTTCGTTCATCGCTATTTGACATGATCCAGGATTGTTAGGTTCCTCGAAGCTCATCCTGGAGTTGCTGTCATAGCAACGGGTCCGGCTAGGGAGCAGGCGTATTTCACATAGCTAATTGTTTTATGAGTTTTATGTCTTATACATTAGATTGTATCATTTTAAGTGAAGGTGATACTGAAAGTCTGTCCCAGTCATTGCCATTTTCTTACAAGTGTACCTTATTATACCAGGAAAAATAATTAAAAAAGATAATTAAATAAAAAGCAAGTAAATAATTAATATGTTGCGTAATCTATAATAATAGACAATACCAGTTTTACTCATTGAGAGATTTATTTGCAAATTAATAATTATCTCATAATTTTTTTGCAGTCATATACACATTACGTACAGTATGTCGTGTGTTAATTTGAATGGCGAGCTTTTATGCGGGTGACTTTGATGCATCGCAGGAGATGCAGATCACTTCTCAAATCTCAAAATGCTTTTATGATGCACAATTGAGATGGATCTTATGGATTATGAAACTTTAATTAAAGCCGTCACGTATAACAAATCCACTTCAAAATTAAATAAACTGCTAATTACAATACTCTTGACATTGAAAAAATGCAAAGTCTGTACAAATTCTAGAAATAAATAAATCGGAAAATAATAGAAAAATAAATCGGAATTGCTTAAAAACGGTTACACTTTTTATGTATTAGAACTTTTATTGTCATTTTGCTGGCTAGACTGTTTCCTTGATCTTTATTATACGATGTCATTACAATGCTGTCTTCCTGCCAGCCAATCACTGCATTGCTGATCGTGGTTTCGAGTATCAGTATATCTGCCCTTTCCAATGAAAGGGCTGATATATCAACACAGAGTGTCAAGTCAAGTCATGTCATGTCACCTTTATTAGTATAGCGCTTTATATAATACTGGTTGTGTCAAAGCAGCTTTACAGTGTCAAACAGGAAAATAGATTGTCAATAATGCAAGAAGACAATAACAGAGTCATTTTTTCCAGCTAAAGTCAGTTCATTGATGATTCAGTGATGTCATCATCCAGTTCAGCTGTCTTCCAATAGTGTCTGTGCAATCAGTCAAGCGTCCCCAACTAAGCAAGCCAAAGGCAACAGTGGCAAGGAACCAAAACTCCATCGGTGACAGAAATGGAGAAAAAACCTTGTGAGAAACCAGGCTCAGTCGGGGGGGGCAGTTCTCCTCTATCTACTAACTCTCATTAGAGTGTTAGTAGAGTATTAGTAGATTGGTAGGATTAGGGTTAGAATAAGTTGACATGTACTTGCAAAGTTACTTATAGTCAGTGGAATGTCTGTTGGGAGACCATCACAATAAAGAGTTAGCAGATATTAAGCAGTCTACTAATACTCTAATTAGAGTTAATAGTCTGGACAAGTTGACGTTAGTGACAAGGCAGATTTGAACTTGATCCTGTACGAGATTGGAACAGAAAGGAATACAAGTCTGAAGGAGAGAGTTTAGACAAGGCCCCAGACTATAAAGCTGTCCTATATGTTAGCATCAGAGCCTTAAATTTGGTGAGGGCAGGTGTACGCAGCCAATGGAGAGAGACTAAGAGGGGTGAAATGACTGCTCTTTGGCTGACTGAAGGCCAGGTTCTTAGAAAAAATCAGCAGCAAAGTGGACCTTATGACTTTATGGCAGTAGCCAAAATTCTACATAAATTTAAAGCATTCAAATGCTTTACTAAATCCCTGCTGCTAATTGGTGTGTGCGATATGTATTGTCTACATTAATACAGTAATTGTTGTTTATAAAATGGATAGTTCCAGTCCATGATTCTGATTGCTTGAGTGTTGTTTGAAGCTTTTGTAAATTACTCTAAAAACATACACCTGTGACCTTCAGTTTTACTCTACCACTGCACCTGTGTGTTGCTGTGGTTCCATGTATTATGTATTTGAGCAAAATTAACAGTTTTCTTCTATTAAATCCAGATAAGACAGAGATATTACTTATTGGACCAAAAACCTGTACACAGAATCTCTTACAATAATACAATTTGCATCAAGAGCATGTACTGTTACTTCTTCCTCGACAGTCAAAAACTTGGGTCTTTTAATAGACTGCAACTTGTCTTTTGAAAATCACATTTCACGTTACAAAAACAGTCTTCTTCCACCTTAGAAACATCACCAAGATACGGAACATGTTACCCGTTTCTGATGCAGAGAAGCCAATTCATGCATTCATGACCTCTAGACTGCATTATTGTTAATGCACCACTAGGTGGTTGTCCTGAATCTTCAATAAACAAGCTACAGGTAGTCAAAAAATAAGCTGATAGAGTTCTTACCAGATCAAGAAAACATGATCACATTACCCCAATTTTACAATCTCTACACTGGCTACCTATTAAGTTCTGTATTGATTACAAAATATTGCTACTTAAGTCCATAAATAAGACCATAAATGGTTTAGCACCTGTGTCCTTAACCAGTCTTCTTTCAAGCTACAATCCATCATTAGTTTGTTATTTGATGCTATAAAAACGGGGTGTGGTGTCATGATTGTGATTGCTTGCGATTGGGTCTGCGGGAGTTTGGGCGGACACTACTGCGCAGGCTCCAAATTACGTCATTTTCACAAGATGACAGCGGCCATGCTGCGATGATTTGGCTTCACTTTTCTATAGTGGAAGAAAGTGGAGATGCGTCGTCCATCTTTTTTTTTTTTTTTACAGTCTATGAACTGTCCAATCATAAAGAGTCCTTTGCTTCATTCCTGAATGAACCAGCCATTTGAACAAATCCGCTGAATAAACGACTCATGCCACATGACATTTGAAACTTTAAGACTGTGATCTGTGGTGACTTGCCACTACCAACTAGCGGTTTTAGTTTCATATTTAAAGTATCATTTCATAAAAAAAACAGCAACAATATGTGTAATTTTATATTTTAAAAGACTGAACATGTTATGCATTTTCTACAGATACATTCAGGGAAATGTGTGTGTATTGATAGAATGCATACTGTACATAAAGAGACAAGCTATACACATATACACGTATGTATCAACAGACTGGCTGACCTGTGACAAGCTCTCGTACTTCAGTGTCCACTGTTGTTCTCAGCAGGCGAAGCAGTGCAGGAACTCCACCTGCGTTTCTCACGGCAATCTTGTTGTCGTCTGTAGCTCTGCCATAAACGAGGTTCCTCAGGGCTCCGCATGCGTGCCGCTGCACCTCCAGAACCTTATGATCCAACAAATCCACCAGGTGTTTTATTCCACCCAGACGACACACCTTCAAAACACAAGAGATTTTCATTTTGTTCAGGGGTTGCTCAGTTAAATCTGCATTAAAGGTGAGGTATGTCATTTCTGTTCCTACTTGTGACAAAGCAGAAATGCAATTTTTTAAACAGGTTTCCCAAACATTTCCTTTTATCTGCGACTGTTTTGTATTGCGATCCATTTCATTGCCCACACTAATTACAGGTTTCTTGTCATCTTGATATAACCAGTTGTATGCAAGCTCACTGTAAACATAACATTAATGACAAAAACTCTATAACAATAGAATTACCAGCATTAAAGGACACTACAAGCTCTCTCTGGAAGACGAAGTGCATCATGAAAGACCACTGTCACCTTGCTAAGCACTTTTTACTTTTCTGCCTGTTGGTAAGTGGCTCAGAACTCTTTGAACCCACACTAATAGATTTATGAACTGTTTCTAGCCTATCATTATTAGAATGTTCAAAACATGTACAAGTAATGTGCAATATCAATAACAATACTGGACTCTCTACACGGTTATTTTTGCAACCTAATTTTGCTCTGATTTTTCTCATTACCGCCCTACCACTTTATTGGGTGGCGATTATTATTTTGATTAAGCATGTCAAGTCAAGTCACCTTTATTTCCGTAGCACTTTATACAATAAAGCCTGCGTCAAAGATGATTTCTGCTTCCCTCCATCTATTAAGCATCGTCTGCAACTGAAAAAATTGACTGATTACTACTGCCCTCTTTTTAGAGCTGCTTTACAGCAGAACTGAATTTTTGTTTGCATTATTGAAACACTATTTTCCTGTTTAAGACTGTAAAGCTGCTTTGACACAATCTTATATAAAGCACTACACAAATAAAGGAAACTTTTCTTTTAAATAAACACATTTCCAGTGGTTTACTTAATCTTCCCAACCTGGCAACCATGCGCACATGCTTTTCTCTTTGGAGTGTAATGGTACACAGAAGTCACGGTTCGGTTTGAGTTATAGAACCCAAAACTGCTGATTTTAAACAAGCAGGCGGTTCTTCGAGCTCTTGTATGCCATCTGGGGCCCATTTCAATAAAGGGGATCAACCAACTCTGAGTTGACTTACCCTGAGATGGGAAACTCTGAGTTTTCGGGTTCAGAACAGCAGAATTGAGTTAGTTGATTTAGTTAGTTAGTTACAGTAGGTTGACTCTGAGTTTAGCGCGCGCACCACGACTATGAAAAGACATGATCAGTGGAGCTCCGAAATTATGATTCACCATGGCAACAGCACCCGACAAAAAGACGTCCGCATAATTCAGACAATACGTAACTTTAATTCTTAATCACTTCTGATATCAAAGGTAAAAACTGGCAGAACGGTAAGTTATTGAACTAATATTAATTTTCATGGTATCCCTCAGGCAAAAGAAAAAAGGTAATGCTCTAAGCATAACAGGTTCATGAGTGTAGGTTACATGACTTTACAAACATTTGACATATTAAATAAATATCATTCAGTGTCTATTTCAGTGCGCAGCAGCTTTTTCCACATAGTTTAATGCTCTTTTCACATAATTAAATGTTCTCTAATCCAAACTGTTGCATTTCTTAATTAGAGTAATGAAATTAACATTTGACTTCTACTCAGCCTTCTAACTTGACTTCTAACAGCAAGACGACTCTCACAATAATGAAGAACAGATGAAGAGGAGATGGCCACAAAACCAAGTATTGGAAGAATATTAAAATCCAACAGGAAAAAGAATAATTGTTGCTTTTGTAGCCTATTTGTACTGTAGGAAATAAAGATGACCAAATAAATTTAAGAGCTGTGGTGGTGGTTAAGGCATATATCTATAACTACCCTTCCATCTGGCATCCTTCCATTCCATACAGTAATCATCTTAATTTTCGATGGGTTTGTGCTCAGAAAACTACACAAATATTATAAGAAAGAGTGTGAGAGCGAGACACACTTTTCTTACCGCTCTGCATACAGCGCTTTTACTAATGTACTCTGCATCCCTGATGTTATATAGAAAACTACCATTTAAAAATGCTACCGCTCAAATAAATGCATATGGCAAAAAAATAAACAATTAAAAATCCTCTCCCGATGTAAATGTAACTCCCTATGAATGAATGCAGCCTCCTCATCTACAGGATTCAGTATAAGAGGACATGCCGCTTTTGTCACTTTCACAGTGTCTGCATGATGAAATATGTGCAATGAATGAATGTACCTGCACTGCAGAAAATGCTTTTCTTACTTGGTATTTTTGTCTTGTTGTTTCCAATGAACATATCTAAAGATTCTTAAATCAAGATGCATTTTCTACATAAGAAAAATGACATGGGTATTTAGTCTTTAAAGTGTATTTTTCTTATTTTGCTAATTATCTGCCAATGGGATAAGAAAAATAATCTTGTTTCCATTTTCATTAATATTATTTTTCTTGTTTTAAGTAAGATCCACTTAATTTAGATTCCAAAATACTCAGTAAGGAAAGCATTTTTGCAGTGTGAATGAATGAATGAATGAGGTATTTAAACATCGCTTACGCTTTAAAACGGGGGAGGAGACTGAAAGGAACTCTGGGTTTAACGAAGAAAACCTGCTCCCGACCAGGTTAGGTTCACAGAGTAAGTTACCATGGTAACTGACTCTGAGTTAGGTTTGGGCCGATAGACGATGCCATCGTCCATCGCCGATGGCTGACAGACATCACGATGTTTCACTGTAGACATCGTCCAATGCCAATTTGGTAGACATCGCCCAACCCCACTCTGAGTATAAGTTACCTTTCTTTCAGAAACGGGATTGACTTACCCTGCTTTCTTGGGTTTGAAAAACCTTCCATTCTGAAACGGAAAACCCAGAGTTTCCCTCATTTCAGGGTTTTCACTTAACCTCCTTTCTGAAACGGGCCTCTGGTGTGTAGATCGTCTTTTCTTCTGCTCTTTCTGTTGTGGCGGTTAGCGTTGCATTACCGCGCGCATCTTTCTGGACTGATCGCCCATGACTGACTTTACTCGTGATCTGACCGCATGAACCTAACCGTGACCGTTCGAAACTAATACATTTACCGTTACACCCCTACTTTCACTACATTACAGAGAAAGCACTGACAAACTGAAAAAAAGATCTACGGCCAGTCTGTTTTCTTTCAAGCAGTCATTTGCACTGTTTGCTTCAACTAAATCAAACAATAAAATAAATAAATAAATAAATTGACAGTAGTCTTGATAAATAATCTTGGTTAACTTATATATATATATTTTGAGCAAAATACTGTTTTTCACATTTGCTAAGACACTAAACCCCACTCTCTGAACCAAATTCTCAATAGCCTAATCCAATTTGTCAAATAAATCACCCTTTCTGCAAAACCTTAAACAAGTTCAGGCAGTTAGACACTGTTTGAAAATCTCATGCATAGAATTTTTTGTAAAACTCTAAACACATTCTTACTCACTAAAACACAATTTGCACTGTGATGAACTAGTGATGCAAAACCCTAAACACAAGAAAGCAAAAGTTAAGCACAACTGCAACACAGCTGTCATCATTTACACACAATGATTCAAAATTGTTCACACTTGTTTCTAAATATGTGATCAGATGCACAAAATATTAGCCAGTTCAAAGTGCACAGATGGCATGGGCGCATCCATCAATCTGAGAGGTACGGAAGAGTGTGTATACGAGGTGGATGAAGAGGAGGACGTGGAAGAGCAAGACCAAGAACAGTCATTTCAGATTAGAGCTACTGTGATAGACCATGTTCTTGTGCATGGAATGACAATGAGGGCAGCAGGACAAAGAGTTCAACCTAATTTGAGCAGATTCTCTGTGGCCACCATAATCAGGACTTTCAGAGAATTTTTTTTTTTTACTCTGTATTTTGGTCATTTCAATATATTTTTGTGTATATATTTGACTACCACATTAGGGTGGAAGAACTGGCCTGTGGTGACATAGACGTGCTTTCTGGTCGAGACTGGATCCGCCACACCAGAGGGTACACCAACTTGTACAAACTTCAGACTTCCAGGTCAAAAACAAATATTTTAGTCAAAAACAGAATCTAACCAGAATCTAATCTTTGGCCTCAGATGACACACAAACCTGTCAAATACGCAGACTCACTCTACCTAAGACTATCTCACTGCCTAGAGAAAAACAGTGAGATCAATTCAAAACACTGTTATAAAAACCTTTTGGGAATCAGGAATAATTACAGTATGCTATTGTAGTTTACTACAGTATGCAACATAAATAGAGGGGTGGAGATATAGTGAAATTCAGCAACAAGCTCTAAGAAAAGAACATTATCATTACACTACTGTAAAGTGATCTTACAGTAGATGAAAAGCACTAGAAAATATTTTGAATAGTTCAAATAACAAAGAATTGAATATGAACACAATACTGTATACCAGTGGTTCTCAAACGTCTCCATGAAGTACCCCCAGCACTGCACATTTTGTATGTCTCCGTATATCTGACACACCCACTTCAGGTCTCGCAGTCTCCACTAATGAGCTGATGAGTTGAATCAGGTGTGATAGATGAGGGAGACATACAAAATGTGCAGGGCTGGGGGTACTCCAGGACAGGTTTGAGAACCACTGCTGTATACTGTCAATTACTGTAAAGTAAAAAATAAATAAATAAATAAACAGCATCCTCTGCCATACTACGACAGCCTCTTAGTCTTCTGACAAAAGACTTTCTCTAGCTCCCCTAGACAGTCGTTTATCATAGGTTGTGGCATCATGCTCCGGTGGTGGGGGAGGAAGGCGATCACCTACGTTACATCGATGAACATCCAGGGTAAATGTCGTTCCTGAATTAAACAGTTACGAGTTTGGGGTGTACAACATGTGCTACAGTATTTACTGCACATAGAACAGTGAAAGTTCTCTCATCTAAAGTACTGCTACTGTGTCCTGGAGTTATATTGTAAGTGTGAGTAGAATAGAAACCCTGTAGATGAGCCTTAGGCCAGCTTCCCCATGCTCATTCCATGCACAAGGACATGGTCAACTATAGTGCTTGTATTTCATCAGGAACAAATGTCCTTTGACCCCGTCGCCTTCATTTTTCTTTTCCCTTCCTATTCCTCTCCTCTTTCTATTTGTCTCCCACCACTAGGATTCATTATTCAAAGCACATAATCACCTGTGACCCTATTTCTATTACCCCGAGATTCTCACTGCTGTGTCATCAGTTTTGGTACTTAATGTTTACACACAGATAAATGTGCTATTTGAGTTCCTTTTGTGATGCTTGAGTTAATTACACTGTGTACTTGTGTTTTCTGAATGAGAACACGGTCAAACCTGTGCAAAATGAGGGCATTTTTGCGTAGAGCTTGCAGAAAAGTTTAAGCAAATTGGAAAGCGTGTGAAAACAGGTGAAATGTGTCTCTGTTTTGAAAACTGAATGAATTGTTTGGAAAATTGGGCCAAATTAATCAGTTATAGTGTGTTAGCAATCGAGAAAAACTATTTATTTATTTATGTATTAATAAATGTTTTCCCTTTTTGAGAGTAACATGTTTTTCCACATATTCACTTAAGTTTGATTTCTTTTGTTTGTGTGTGTGTGTGTGTGTTTAATTGGAAAATGTTTATTATATACAATTAACCTTTTTTTGGTAACACTTTAGAATAGGGAACACATTCACTATTAACTAAGAGATTTCCCTGAACAAACTACTAATTTGCTACTTATTAATAGTTAGTAAGGTAGTTGTTAAGTTTAGGTACGGGGTGGATTAAAGGATCTAAAATACGAGCAGAATAAGGCATTAATATGTGCTTTATACGTACTAATAAACAGCCAATATGCTAGTTATATGCATGTTAATAAGCAACTAATTAAAGCAGCACTATGTAACTTTTTCTGTGTTCAAAATGTATTTGCAAAATGTATATAATGAGCGAGTACATCATGAATTCATCTTCCAAACCGCGTTTTTGTCTTATTTCGAATCACTACGGTACACTTATAATAAGTACTTATATTTGGACTATTGTAGCCTGGTCGGGTGCGTATACTATTGACTAATGTGTGTATGATTTGAAAGCTCTGTTTGATTTTGAGTACAGGTGAAATGGTTTTGAAGCGATTGTTTGATTTTGCCCGAAGAGTCAGGGGTTCTGTGAATTTAGTTTGAAGGTTTGGATTTGTGTTTAAGGTTTTGAGAAAGTGAGTAATGGTTTCGAGAAATGCGTTTTAGCAATTCAGAAAAAACTGTAATAGTCACTAACCATTTAACCATTTCTTAATTTATTTAAAATGGGCAGAATCGTCCCTCCATATACCTCATGTCTCATAGAAAATGGAACATTGTTTACCTCGGTCTTGACGTGGTTGTCTCTGTAGCACAGGTGTTGCAGGTATGCCGCTGCATTAGCCTGCACAGATGGAAACTGATGCTGTAGCATGCGGATGACCTCCGGCAGGTCAGGGTCACGCCATGCAAACTCCCTACAAAAACACACATTAACACAATGACAACATTCACATGAAGCCAGCTTACTGATTATAACACAAACACACACACAGCAGTAACGGGGTGTTAATGTGAAAGCAGCAAGTGTTGATCCAGAACCATGTAAAACTAGTTCAACTAATTAACATCAGTACTGTCATCTACCTTGGGTCCTTCTGCATGCTGTCTACCGAAGGGGAGCGTGTGGCATCATCATCCATGGGCTGGCGTGTGTAGCTGGGATCAGGGGACCAGTAAGGGGTAGATTGGTATGCTTCTGTGTATATGGAGTTTAAAGCATAGTTATTTCTTTGGTACATCATGTTACTGCGCTGACTGGAGCTCCGCTGCAGGTTACTCATACCTGAAACACAGCAACCACAGCACACCTTAATTAGAAGCTTTGGTAACACTTTATTTTAAGGTGTCCTTGTTACACGGTACATGTACTTACTATTATAATAACAATTAATTATGCATAATTACATGCAAGTAACCCTAATCCTAACCCTAAATAATCCTAACCCAATAGTAAGTACATGTAATTAATTAATATTACTCAGTACTTAAATGTATAACTACACTGTAACAAGGACACCTTAAAATAAAGTGTAACCGGAGCTTTAATTTTTGTTTTAAACCTTGGATTCTTTGGCTTAAAGAGACGTTCCAGGTTGAATCAAAATCAAGCTCTATAAATCAGTCTCTATCAAACAGTGTCTGTTGCAGTCTTTACAAAATAAATGTTAATTTTGTAGCCCAATAATCCTTGACCAACTGCTTTTGAAGAACCTATTCTTCAAATTATCTTCATAAACTACGTAACATTTGAAAGCTGCAAACCTTAAGGTTCGACCCTTAAGCCTGAGAAATCATTATGTTTCTTGTCTCATCGCAATCGAATAGTCTCCAGCCAAGGTTTTTTTTTTTCCCCAAAAGTTATTAGCATAAACATGAGTGTAACTTGGAGCTGTTGGTGGCGCTAAAGGGTTTGATTTTTATATCTTTTTTTTGCTCTGGGTTTGCTTTTTTTCACAACTTGAATAATTTTGTAAGTCTAACTATCGAGATTCTAAGTAAGTGGAGACAGGGAAGTCTTGCCTGGTCCAATATGGTGTATGTGTTGAAATATCACAGCAAAAAAGTGGGCTATGAGACATCTATGTATTTATGTCTATGGTTTGAGAAACCTATTTCAGGTTTTGAGGTCTATACTAATGAGCTACTCAGCTAAATCAGGGGTGTTTGATTAAAGTGAGATACAAAGTGTGCCATGTTTGGAAGTGCGGGTTGAGAACTAATGCTTTCACGAAATGTGTCATTTTGGGAGTACCAGTAGATACTTTTATAATTAGAATACTTTCTGTAAAATAAACTACAATTTTAAGCAAATTTAAGTGATGAAGTGGACTACAGTATGGACTATTTGCAACATTTTAAATAAACATTATATATATAATAATATATAAAATTACTTACATTAGATGTTATACACAATTGTTTTTTAAATAATTTCTTTTAATACAATTTAAATGAATAAATAAATAAATAAATAAATAAGATTTCACAAGTTTCAGTAGGTGCGTACCAAAGGATGATCTGTAGTGCGGACTCTGTGGGTTGTGCTTCAGGTCTGAAGCTGTTTGGCTGAGGCTGTGGTAAAGGGGTCCCTGCAAGGTCCGGCCCTCATAAATAGGCCCAATATGGCGGTCAGGGGAAGTGGCTGACCTCACATCAGCACCTATCTGACTGTGTTGACTAGAGTAAGATGTTCGCACACCTGATGATGACAAAACAATACAAACAAATAGTTACAGAGAGACCATCACTCACTTATTAAAGTCTGGTTCCTGTAAAGGATACAAAGGAAAGAAAATTCTGTCATCATTTTAAAACAGAAGATATTTTGAAGAATGTTTTGGTTGCCATTGAAGGGGGAGAAAAAAAAAAATTTCTCAAATATATTTTATATCATAAGACATTTTGGAATGACATGAGGATGAATAAATGATGACAACATTTTTATTTTTGATCCCCATCCCTGTAACCCAGGGCGTTTTTCTCCACTGTATTTCATCAAATTGACATAAGAAAAAATGAAAAAGTCCTGGTTTTACATGGCCGTCTGGCGGACTACATTTCTTTTTCTAAGCAAAACAAAAACTCAGCTGTTATAACTAAACTGCTATAGCAACATACACAACTTTCACGTCCATCTTATCAACAGATAAACTTTACTCTCTTATTGTGGATATTTCAGCAAAGGTAACATTGTAATTTTGTCTGCTGTTGTAATGGAGTAACAACAGAGCACTCGACACCGCCAGTGCAGGCAGAGTGTCTTGATGGACACACATGACTTATCTAAAATCTAAAAACGATCATTTTAAAACTGTATTTTTTGTCTGATTGTGATCTACACACAAGGCACCACATTATATTGGTCACACAACACTTACGGTAGCACAAACTAAGGAATTTCACCTTGATAATAGGGCTGGGCGATATGTCAAAAATATCTTATTGATAATCGCCTTTAAAAATATCGCAATATCCGATAATATCGTCTACCTAAGCCCCACCTCCACCACGCCCCACCCCCGCCAAGACAACATTGCCGACATGCACCATAAACACACACCATGTTCAGTGCGGTCTTAATTATTGCCACAAAGTTTGGTTTTACTTTTCTTAGTTTGTGCTTAAACTAACAGAAAACATTAGCTTTGCTGTTATTTTGGTGTTGCTAATAATTTCCACTC